ACAGGATGGAGCTGCAGTTTGTCCAGGGGGTACAGCTCCCACCACTGCATGCACCCTAGGAAGGCATGGGGGGGCAGGGAGCATGCCCCCAGACTTGTGCACAGGGGAGGGCGGGATGCCACTGTGGGATGGGGCCGGGGGCAGTGCCAAGCTCTTCCTGGCAGGGGACTGGGCAGGGCTGAGCTGGGCTGAGCTTGGGGCGGGCAGCAGCAGTGGTGGGAGTGGCGGCTACGGTGAATTTTGGAGTGGCTCTAGGCCCCACAACCCTCCCACCCAGTAACACCTCTGCCTGCCTTGAGTGCAGCCCTGCCCAGCACCTGCTAGGAAGAGCCTGGTGCTGCCCCTAGCCCCAGCCTGCAGTGGAAGCTCGCCCTGCTCTGCCCTTTGCACAGATCCAGGGGTACACGCTCCCCATGCCCTCCTGGGGTGCGCGTAGTGATGGAAACTGTTCCCCCCCCCACCCCATGACCCCAGGATGAGCTGCAGCTCCATTCTCTGCCCCGCCCTGCCCTGGCTGAAAAGCACCTACCCCTGACCCTGCCCCAGTGCCTGCTCCACTCCCTCCCTCACTGTGGGAGCTTTGATCTGCCCCCCCACACCCCTTCCCTCTCTCTGCCCTTTCCCCCACAGCAGATTTACCAGCTGGACCCAGAGGCCCTCCAAGATGTGGGGCTGCACTCCTGGCCCCCTGCATGCTGTGCTGTGGCTGTGCACACGCATGGGGCATTTGTCAGCTACATTATCAGCCATGAGCTAAAAAATGCTGATTGCCAATATACTCTCAATTTTCCTCATATCGGCGCCGATCTGATATGGGACTGATGTATTGGTGCATCTCTAATTTTTTGTCTTGCTGCAGAGACCAAGATATAGACTAGTGGCCTGAACTTGCAGCAAAGGAGGTTTAGATTGGATATCAGGAAAAAGTTCTGTACTGTTAGAATGGTGATATAGTGGAACAGACTGCCAAGGGATTATGGAATCTCTGTCACTGAAGGTGTTCAAGAAGAGGCTGGATAGGCATTGATCAGTGATGAACTAGGAGTAGCTATGCCTATGCTCTAGGATGGCTATTTCCCATACTTCCAGTTTGTTGGGCTTTGCTGATTGCCACATGGGGCCAGAAAGGATTTTTTCTGTATGCCTGCTGTTACATGTGAGGGGGAGAGTATGGGGAGAAGTGGGAAGTGTGGGTGTGTGGTTTTACTCTCCTCAGAAGTATGGGAGGTAAGCCTGCAGCCAAAGCTGGGGATTTTGACTGGGGTATGCTAATGGTCATGCTGGGACTAGAATCCACAGATTCCTGGCTAGAATGCCTTGCCCCTCTATTCATGGTTAGACCAACTGCCATATCTGGGGTCAGGAAGGATATTACCTCATGGTTAAATTGGTAAGGAGTGTCGTGCTTTTTGCCTTCCTCTGTTGCAGGGGGCATGGCCCTCTTCCTTGGATCTCTCCAGCATATTTTAACAACCTTCACAGCAGCAGAACATTGGCCGCCATTGTCCTCCTCTTTTCCCCGTGGCAGGTTAGGGTTATTATGTTTTGTGGTTGTGTCAGGGTTGACTATGTAATTAATAAGTTAGATGATAGATTTGTATAGGATAGTTTGGATAGGAATGATACTGCCTCAGGCTGGCCGATTGGATTAGATGACCTCTGAAGGTTTCTTGCAGCCCTACTTCTCTATGATTCTATGATATAAATATAAAAGAAGTACAGTAAAAGTTCTGTTAACCAGCATCTTACAAGCCAGCATGCTCAATTAACTGGCATACCGGCTTGTAAGATAAAGTGAAACTGAAAGTGCCCACCATTTCCCCAAGACCCCACGGCCCAGGGGCATAACAGGCTGTGTGGGGCCTGCCTCCCTGTCCTGCAGGGCCCGCAAGGCCTGCAGGAGGGCTGGTGATGCTGGAGGAGGGGCGGCGGGACGCCCCAAACGCAGCGGGAGAAGCGGTGGCCTGGGCTGCTCAATTAACCAGCGTATTTTGTTATCCAGCATCCCCTATTCCTGAGGGAGAGCTAACAGAGCTTTTACTGTATCTTTATACTGACTATGACAAGTTTACTAAGAAAAAAATCCTTAGAAGACAAAGGTGATGTTTCCACAATATTATTCATAGCACATCTGCAGAAATAAGCAAAGCACTGTTTACAACACATAACAAAATGGAGCAGCTTCAGAAGAAGATTATGTTCATCTTTCCCAAAGATTTGAGGTCCTTAGTAAAACATGAAGAAAAAAGACAACCCCAATCAAGAAAAAATCATTAACCCAAATATGTAGAACACAATTTTATTTCCTGCCCATCAGAGAGTAATTTAGAAGAACTGGCTCAGTGCTTTTGCATTAGATAAAGTTCATCACAAAGCAGTACAGTTAGCTACAGAAGAATTCAGTACATAAAGAAATCATGTGTGTACTCCAGACACTCAATGTTTATTGGTAGTTCAAGTGTATTGAGCTTTGTGATATTAGGTGATACCAAACAGCGCTCCACATGAAAACAATATCAAATGTATGGCTCAGTGTACAGAGTGAAATCCAGAGAGATAGAGGGAGGAAAAGGAAACACAAGAGCTCTCTCACCCTCCATTCTCTTTTCTTTTATTGGTAACTTCTGCTGTAAAGATAATCCGTCCATTTGCTTTTTCTAATTCTAACATATCGTGCTGATATTATATCCTCCTTTTATTCCACCTTCCAACTACCATTTCTGTTGTGGGGGCCAAGACTATTATGCATTTAACACTTCTCCTACTTCTTATTAATCAGCCATAAAATCTAATCTGGTCCTGATCTGTGAAAGTGTTGTGCACTCACAACTGTAACTGAAGTCAATGGGAGTTAAACCTTGAACATATCAATCGCTGTAAAAATAGTAAGCGTTAAAAACTGTAGTCTTTTTATCTCTCAAATTTGGGGCCTAAATTTAATAGATACATCTGAAAGTTTTATCCTTTAACTATCTGTGTCAGAGTTCCAAACTGTAAAATGGACATGATAATATCATTTACTTTTGCAGTCTGTCATGAAGATAAAGTACTATTCCTACACTCGCTACAGCTCATGAAGAAATGAATACTTTTATACAAGCAGAAGCTTTGGATGGCCTGCAGCAAATAAAGCAGTGAGCCACACAATGAATTATGCAATAAAACAATAAATAAACGGAAATATTCATTAGCTTTTTCATGACCACCATCCTTTTTTAGCACTGAATGAGGTGGAATTTTTATTTAATATAATACGTTATCACATAATTAAGGAAAATGTGACTGAATTAAGGTTGCAGGAACAATGTCGTTAGTGGACCAAGGAGAATTAAAGAAGAGAAAAAAAATAGCAGCTAAAATTTACATATGACAGGTAAATAGTTAAGACATATTTATATGTTTGCTAAATTTCAGCAATTAATTTTTGGCATAACAGGCTATAATCATCACATTAAAGCAGCACCCCAACATCATTAAATCTAAGATATTCAGAGGAATATCAATATCTGCCTTTAAACACAAACTTTCTTCTTAGTGTTTATGAAGGGGAAACAAGAATTGATTTTCTTGCTTATTTGAAGACTCGAGACTCCACTGAAAACCATTCTATTTCCAATATATATCAACAAGTAGATGTCAGAGCTTTTGCCATATGTCTAGCATTTAACAGCATAACACTATGGTTACTAAGAATAACTAACTCTCTATTAACATCATGCTCTCATTTTATGCAGAGTAGTCTGTTGCTCATAGACACTTATGATCTTTCTTTTAGATGTGTTTTCTATCCTCAGCTTGCACCTTAAGCAGTTTCAGCATTCAAGTTTAAGAAATTTTCAGTACCATTTAAATAGTTTCAAATAATATAATGGTGTATAATACTTAGAGGCTATGAAGTTTTGAGCCAATCCTTTTAACCCTGGAAGTGTTCCTCTACTCATAATTTTGTAAAAGTCCAAGATCTCACCCTGTGAGTAGTTCCACTGAAGTCAATGGGAGTGCTTTTAAGTAAGGAGATATTTATTTGCAGAAGGACAGCCTTTGGCCATCAGCACTATGCCGTTATATAAAGAAAAGGACCAATACTGTTAGATACTAAAGCACTTGATTCCAGGATCAAGATCCTGAAGAACCTTTCCAGGTGCCTTTCCCCAGTTAATAATGAATTAGTAATGGATAAATGTCAAAAGACATATTCTTTTAGCTTGCTTCAGAAAAATATCTAAAATTCAGTTGTTTATCCAAACCTTGTTCTGGTATCAGTTTGTCAATCTCATAAGAACAAGTATTCTCTTGATATATCAAATACTTTCTGGTTTAGGACAAAATATAAATACCATGACATTTTTCCTTCCCTCTCTCCCCCAGTTTAGTAGCTATAAAGATAGAGGAAGTAACTCCCCCACCCCCCCAATAATTAAAAAACCAAAAACAGAGCACAAGAAACTGAGTGAAACACCCAGTCAGTGCAACATTTTTAACCTCAAAAAATGAGCCTAGATTCATTTTAAGTTTGAAATATTTGTCTCCGTGGCTTATTTCTTTCTTAAGTTGTTACTCATTTCCTGTACAGATATGTTGAAAGTATGACATCAACAGCAATCATAAAGCTTGGTTACTATTCTTGGCTTTAAGCACTGACTTAAATAATGAGCATAAAATTCATAGGCTCATGCTTGATACAATCAATAGAGTATTTCTCATTCCTAAACAGAATTAAAAGTTAATATCAATGTTATTTTTTCAGTTTAAATTACAGCAAATGCATTTTACCTGACCTACAGTTCTGCATCTGTGCTGACAGTCATTAACACTTTCAAGTTAATTTAAATTGCTAAATCTCATTCAAATATAGACAAAACTCAAATATCAATGCTCATTTTTTGCCCGTGCTTCATACTCAGCTGCTCTCTCTCAGTTTTATTTTTATTAGTGCTCAAAAAGAAGTAATACATTGGGGTCAGTTATCACACTCACAGTTGTTCACAAAGTTTACTTACCTTCTGACCCTCTTTCCCAGGTGGACCTTGGGGACCTTCAGGCCCTGGCAAACCCTGCAAATATAAACATTAGTAAATATAACATTTCAAGTTAATCTTAGCTTCATTTATCTCATCCTGTAATGACTCTGTGTAACTGAAAATAACTCACAAGTTTTAGAGCCAGCTGCCATGGCAAAATGTTCGTACTGATATAGATTTACTTCAGTTCTGGATGATGTTATGTTGAAGTGTAAAAAACTAACAATGATAATTATTACCACTTTCGTACCACATTATAGTTAATGGAACAGACTATTTTTTGTTCTGGGCATGGTAGCCACCAAGCAGAAAACAGTGCAGCAGCACTTGTACAGTACTTCACTGAGGCTAATTAATCCTGTGGCAAGGTGCAGCTAATTACCATGCCCAAATTGCCACACTGCCAAATTTCTGTTTTAGGAGGTAGGCGTGCGCAGCCACGTGGCAAGTTTCAGCATGGTGCTGCCTTGCATGATATTTTTGATGTACAGACATAACCATTATTAAATGAGTTTATAAATTATTTAACTGTGATTTTTTATATTGTTACATATCTTGTGAAGTTAGCACGTCACATGATAATTGCCTATGAGTATTAAACAGAGCCACTCAGACTAAATATAGCACCTAGCTCTGTGACTGATTCCATGCTGGCGAACCGCTGAGCTCATGCAGAGCTACACTGCTGAGTTCAACAGTAGGATCTGGTCTGTGAATAACAAGTTTCAGGATCAGGGCTTTATGTTTGGGAGGATCTTTAACCTAAAGGTATTTGGTGCATGAGGACAGTATAGACATAAAATCATTACAGAAAGACTCAAGACTAGGAGCACTTAGTTTTCACAACTACAGAGCTGTTTTCTTATATTTCTACAGCAACTTATGACTCATCAATCATTCTGGAACTCATGCATTTTTTAAAATGACTTTGAACAGCAATTCAGTTTCTCATATATCAAAACAAAAGGTACAAAGTGAGCTTCAAATCAATCAACACAAAAAAGAAGAGTTGTACTTTATTCAGTTAAAATAAAACATAAATAAAAGACTCAGAGTTTTTATAACTTTATATGGAATCACAAAATTAAGAAAAATGTGTCTATTCTATTTAATCTTTTAGTACAATACCACAGTGCCACGTTAGATGCTTAAATGTTTAAATTGCTCAGAGTTGGCCATTATTTGAGTTTCAGCATCATAATCTTTTGCCCAATCTTGCACACCTTATTCAGGATAAACACCCTTTTATCTAGATAAAATGTGCAGAACAGGAGCCATGTTAATCCCAGTTTTCTGAAGCTGAGTGGCACAAAGCCAGTTTGCGGGATGGATCCCTTGCGGGGACGGTGAGCGTTGGTGGGTCCCAAGCACCCAGATCAGGTCCCGTGCCACCTCTGTCCAACCCCACAAAACAAGATTTGGCCCTGCACACCTAGTTCAGATCCCACACCGCCTCAGCCCAACCCCATATGTCCTGATCGGGCTCCATGCTGCTTGGGTCTGCTGCACCTGCCAGGATCCTGCCCTGCATTTTCCCAGCCCACATACCCAAGGTAGCATGCAGGACAACACTTTCTGGCCCGCTCAGCTCCTCACAGGTCCAGAAATTTGGCAGCAGAGGAGTGGCAACTAACACTGCCAAAATTCTCCTGCCACCAAATATCCCTATGTTCCCACAGGAAACATGGAAGGCCATATGACATGACAGCATTGGATGCATCTGGCCCATGGATTAGAGTTTGAGCACCCATGTTGTAGGAAATGAATTTTAAAATAATGAACTATGCTATGGGGGATAAGACCAAGAAAATGATGGGGGTGTTTAAATTGAAAGCTCAGATACCTTCAAATAGTGGTATTCCTTGATTAAAATGATGTTTGAATACATATTTTTAAATGAAAAACACCAAGCTCACCCATTTTCCTATTTCCATCATTTTTTATTTTCCAAGTCTCAGGAGTTGGGGGAATTCCTCATAACTTTATTAATTCGCTACGGGGTATTTCTTCCTATTACTCAAATTTAAACTATTAACAAGCTTTTATCTGAAACCTTTTTATACCAGCTACAAACTGAGTTTCCATTTTCTACACTCTGTATTATTGGATAGATGATGCCAAAAACTTTCTTGCATGTTCTAGAGATCATTCTGTGTTAACAGTAGATTAGCAACTTAGTTTACACATTTGCAAACACAGGTGTGTGTGTGTGTGTGTGTGTGTAGGGCTGTACGAAACCACATCGTTTCATTTCGATGTCTGTTTTGCCATTTAAAAGAGACAGTGTTTCGTTTCATTTTATTTCGAAGCACTGTCCCTTCTCATTTTGTTGAAACTGCTTTGCTGTTTCGACGTTTTGCCCATAGGCTATAATAGGGAATCATGAAAATGCCTAAAACTTTGTCATTTTTTGCCTGATTCAGATGAAATCACAGGGATGGTAGCCCTTTCTGAGGGCATGAAGTCTGCCAAGTTTCAAGGAGATAGCTGCAGAGGTTTCTCAGAAACTGCACCTCAGAGTTCTGAAAGCAAACCTCATGACACTTGCTGGCAGCAGCAGCCTCCTGTCATCCAGGCGCAGACCTGGAGGTCTGCACCCCCCGGAGGGCTGTGAGCCTATGCTGGACTACTCCCATGGGTGCAGGTCCCTGGATCTATGCCTGGATGACAGGAGGCTGCAGCTGCCGCCTGGGACCAGTGCTAGGCGTAGCCCACGCCCAGTACCAGGCTCCATGGAGCTCAGCCCAGCAGCAGGAGGTGGGCAGAGACAGGGCTGTGCTCCACCTCCCACTGCCAGGCTGAGCTCCATGGGGCTGTGGAGCCGCTCAGAGCACAGCCTGGCAGTGGGAGGCAGGCAGAGCTACAGCTGTGCTCTGAAAATTCTCTATTCCAACCCCCAAACAAAAGAGCTTTGTATCTTGTTCAGTAAGGGTAGGGACATAAATTACACATAAATTGGTATAAATGATCAGAAACTCATTCAAATATGTAACACAACAGACATTCAATGCACATAAACTGCTTTCAAAATCACCAAAACTGATTTAAGATAAACCTAAATGGATGTAGTATCAGACTTAACTGATTTAGATTAAATCAGTTTATTGAAATTCTGTCCAAGATTCCCTCCAGATTCAAGTTATTTTACAGTCCCCTAGAATCCCAAGATGTTTTGCACCTCCCCCACAACCTGCCCTTGCAGTGTGGGCAGGCTAGCCTTGGCCCAAGCTGTCTGCTCCAGCAGAACAGAGAGGCATGGTCTAGTAACCCCTGGCTTCTGGCCTGAGCCACTGCAGGCATGGCTGCATTTCCAGAATCAAAAGTGAATGTCTGTTCACTTGCTTATCAATTCAACCTACACTTAGACTAACCTGCAAAGACTGAATTGATTCAGCCTTAGGTTTTCAGACTGTCTGTACTTAGCCTACAGGGTGCACCACAGGCTGATGCCCTTAGTTATACTACTGATGGTCAGTGACTTCATTGGAACAAGTTGGTCTCCCAAGGGCTCTTTAAGGAAAAGGCATTGAGTACATAAACTCCCACCTCTTTTAAACACTGTCATGTGCCATGGAGGAAAGAAGTCAGAAAAGAGTGTGTCCAGAAGTAATTTTAAAGGAAAAGTAGAGAAAAAATAAGAAGTGTGAAAAGGAAGTGAGATTTCAGAGATGAGGCAGTATTTTTATTGGACGAACTTACATAGTTGAGAGAAATGTCAGAAAAGTTTTGAGAGACTAAGCACCCTTTGTCTGGTCTGGGAAAGAAAGAATTATATTCTAAGACAGAACAATTGCTTTAGTTTAACCTGATTTTGTCAATGAATTTGGCCACTTGTAGGTGAACTGGGCAGTTATTACTTGTGGAACAAAGAGAAGTTAACAGAAACAGCTACAGAAAATGCTGTAGAGGAAGAAGTAATTTTTTAAACTGTCAAGTTAATACATATCTTCACATACTGTAAATCTCAGCCTCAGCAGGAAATCTATCATTTTATTACTTTTAACTGGTTTGCCTCCATGACACCACAGATCCCAAACATAAGTTTCAGGAACTATTATTGAATATCTACATATGGATTTGTTAAATGTCTTGAATGAATCATTAAAATGGGTAAGTTTCTCATACTTTAGTTACTGACCACACAAAAGTAATTGTTAACATTTTTAGTTGATATGCCACAGTTTAATATTTCTGGCAAGCAACTGGAGACAACATTTAAGGGGATTTACTAAACCTAAGATGAGAGAAGAGAAATGTGTTTGGCAATCATGGAAATATGCAACTTACAGTTCATCCCAGTTAAACAGTTTTAAGTTTCAGAGTTATCAGCTGAAGTGTATTAGATTTCATATAACACTTCCATTAGAACCTGCTTACTACAGGATAAAGGCTAACATCCTGTCGTGTGACCATTCAGCTACGAAAACATTTACACTGATTTAACAGGTATTTGAAAATGTTTTAAAAACCACAGCAGATGCCTGCCTAGTAGATTTAATAGTTCAAATTAATTGCATTAGAACATGTTTTATACAAAGGCAAAACACTAAACATAACTTTTAAGTCAATTAAGAAGAGCAGCTGAAATGGAAGAATGAAGTTTTTTAAAGACATTATTCATATTACTTCCCCTGGAAACTTACAATTGATGCCAAAGTATAGTTCAACAAAAATATACAAGCAAGTGTATTGCATTCTAGAAGTTATTCAAGAATGTGTCTGATAGTTTTTTAAATAAAATATTGGACAGAACCCCTCTGTACTCTTAGTACTGCTGAAATGGATTCTATGCATGTAACAGGGGTCTTTCTTGGGGCCAGTCTGCCACTGGTCTGCCCACCTGTTTCTGGGCCAATCACCCACCTCCTCACCTGCCATGCCTTGATGATACATAATTATGTTGTTAATTAGACAGGAGGCTGCCAATTCTTGCCCCGATGCCAGGGGGCACTATCTGCAGCTCCATTCCTCCCCTATACTGCAGCCCAAGCCTCGCAGGTGGCATCCATGGTTCTTAATGTCAGTGGCCCCAC